TATGTTGTTGCCCCCTCTGGCCTTACCTTCTCTACCTATCTCCGGGTACCGCCTGCGACGGCATTGGTGAGTTGCCACGTCAGCAGGCCACGTCAGCAGACTACGTCAGCAGGCCACGTCAGCAGACTACGTCAGCAGGACACGCCAGCAGACCATGTCAGCAGGCCACGTCAGCAGGCCACGTCAGCAGGACACGTCAGCAGGCCACGCCAGCCGACAGAGCAGGAAATACCACGTCAGCAGGTCCCCGGCCTGGTCTATGCTGTTGCGGTCACATACAGCCGTCATGGACCAGAGGTCCGCAGAAGCAGACGAGGCCTATCAGGCCCGGATGCTGGCTTGGAGTACCGAAACAAAGAAACGGGCAGATGACGCAGCAGCAGCAGCGAAGAAGAAGGCAGAGGATGCCGAGCAGGCACGTCTGCTGGCACTTGAACAACAGCGCCAGCATGACGAGGCAGCAGCAAGGGCTGCTGATGAAGAAAGAAACCAACGTCGTGAGAAGATATTTAGCGGAGAGCAGACTTTGCTCACAATGGCGGCGGCATGGCGGACCGAGGCCGAGAATGGCAAGTTGGAGGATTGCGAAAACAAGATCGCTCTCCTCCTCTCGCATCTCACAGACCTCCTGGCAACCTGCATTACACAGCAGGAGGATATCCACAGCCTCGACGACTCGCTAGCTCAAGTACAAGGTCGCCTTCAGCAGCTGGAGCAGCGACCTGTCGCCGCCCCCGATGCAAGCTCTTCCAATATCTCCGATCGCCTCAAAGCATTGGAGATGGACGTCGGCTCCCTCAAGGACGACGTGCAGTTACAGCAGACCGCAACGCAACAGTTGCAACAGCGGATCTGTACTACCGCCAATACCTCGAGTTCGGAACCGCGCGAGACAACTCCAAAGTTCGACGGGCAGGAGATCTTCTGCGACTCAACGAAGACAAATCCGGTTCCATGGTTTCGCAAGTTCGAGCTCACGCTACAGCTACACAACGTCAAAGAACACAAGCACCACGCATACTTGTACTCTCGCTCAGGGGGCGCGTGCCAGGCTTGGTTGGACAACCTCTTGTCCAAGTACGGAGTGGTAGCTAACGACTTGCACACCAAGATCAGTTGGGATGATCTGAAGGCGGCGTGGCACAAGCGGTTCCAAGTCGAGCCGCCCGAGATCAAGGCTATGGACAAACTCATGGTCTTCGAGCAAGGCACGCTGCCGAGTACCGACTGGATCGCCGAGTACCAACGCTTGACGTCCGTCCCAGACATCCAGATGGGCTTCAAGGCCATTCGCCACTACTTCATCTCAAGGTCATGTCCGACATTAAGTAATGTCCTGACTCACGTCGAGGACACCTTGACGACAACGGCGGAACTTTTTGACAAGGCCGCGCAGATCATCATTAAGAACAAGGAGGCTAAGAACCTGCGTTCGTCTGCGGCAGGCCCGAGCAGGGACCAGCATCGGCCAAGAGTGGCTGTGGTCGCGGCAGCAACGCCGTTTGACCAAACCTGCGAGGTTGTGTCTGCCAATGAAGGGGACAAACTCGCAGCCGGCCGGGAAGGTGGCCGCCCCGGCCGAGGCCGAGGACACGGCAAGACGAAGACACACACCGCATCTAGCCCCGGGCCCGGCGCAGCAACTCCAGCCCCTTGGTCCCAATACGGCATCTCTGAGCAAGCATTCAAGGCGCGCACGAGATTCCACTATTGCCTACGGTGCAACAATGATCTTCATCAAACACTGATCTGCCCATTGAAAGGCAAGGGCAAACAGGGAAACTGAGCACCGCCGAGAGTGACTCGACAACACTCTCGACGCCTCCGGAACCGGTTTCTTCGCGAGTAACCGGCCTTCATTCCGAGGCACATGCGGAAGTCGATAGTCCTCTTCTACTTTCTTTTGAGGACTATGCTGCCCGACTCGTTCCTACGCTGGGTACTCAAGCTCAAGGACAAGAAGTGTGTGCGGTTTCTTCTCCGTCCGGCACAGCGAAATGTCGTCTTCAAGTGGTTCTTCACGGGAATCGACGCGCGAGTTCAACATAGAGGTATTGGACCCGCTCACGCCCGAGGACTTTGCATGGATTTCTCTCCCGACCACATGCCGCTTGCCGGGACCGCAATGCGTAGCTCTATGCGCTCATCTCCACACTTACTTATCCTTCTATGCACCACCAACTTCGCCGACGGATGACGAAGTCGTGGTGGGGGACATCCTTGCGTATACTACGAAGGTGGCCCGCGAGTTTCACACGCAGCGGTACGATGACAACAACGCACCGCTCATGTATGTCCGCATTCAAGTTGGGCAAGCGTCCTGCAGCGCTTTGCTGGATAGCGGCGCGTCTCGCAATTTCATGAGCCAATCCTTTATGCAAAGGGCTGGCCTTGGCGCACAAGTTCGGAGGAAGGCAAACCCGACGGCGATCAAGTTGGCGGATGGGAAAACGCAACAACTTCTCGATCGATACATCGAGGCCGTACCGGTTTATTTCGCACCTCATGCATGCGAACCGGTGACATTCGATATTCTCGACACGGACTTCGGCATCATTCTGGGAATGTCTTGGCTTGCAAGTGCGGATCACACGGTCAACTTCCACCGGCGGACTCTTAGCGTTCGCGACGCCTTCGGCGCGGAAGTGGCGTGTACTATTCCTCTACCGCACCCTTCGATTCGGTGCCAAGTGGTGACGGCCAAATTATTCCGGGCGACTTGCGCTTACGAGCAGCCCGAGGAGATCGACCTATGTTTCCTACGGATCGTCGCGGTAGTCGACGCTTCACCCACGGACTTGTCTTCGGAACCCCGAGTGGTGCGGCTGCTGGACGAGTTCGCCGACATCTTCGAGTCACCTACCGGTGTGGTGCCGGATCGGCCGATCTCTCACGAGATCATTCTTGAGGCCGGTGCCGTGCCGCCGAAAGGTTGCATCTATCGGATGAGTGAGGAGGAGCTTGAGGTCCTCCACGCACAACTCGACAATTTGTTGGCGAAGGGTTGGATCCGCCCTAGTAGCTCCCCATATGGAGCACCAGTTCTCTTCGTCCGGAAGAAGAACAAGGATCTACGATTGTGTATCGACTACCGCAAGCTCAACGCGCAAACCGTCAAGAATGCGGGGCCTCTTCCTCGCATCGACGATCGGCGCAAAGTATTTTTCGAAGTTGGATTTGAAATCAGGATGTCAACAAATCTCGATCCGGCCGAATGATCGCTACAAATCCGCGTTCAAGACGAGGTACGGGCATTTTGAGTGGGGCCTTTTGGCCTCATCAACGCCCCGACGACCTTTCAAGTGACAATGACCAATGAGTTTCGTGCAATGTTGGACCGGTTCGTACAGGTCTACTTAGACGATATTCTCGTCTATAGCCGGTCATTGGAGGATCATCTTGGGCATCTTCGACGAGTGTTGGAGACGCTCCGCCACGCCAAGTACAAGGCCAACCGCGACAAGTGCGAATTTGTCCGGCAAGAGCTGGAATGCTTGGGCCATTTTGTCACACCGGAGGGCATCAATCCGCTATCGGACAAGATTCAGGCCATCCAACAGTGGCCGGAGCCTCGGAACGTCACGGATGTCCGCTCGTTTCTTGGTCTTGCCGGCTACTATCAGCATTTCATCAAAGGCTACTCGAAGATCGCGGCCCACTTGACCAAGCTTCAATGCGAGGATCGACCGTTTGACTTCGGAGAGGAGGCGTGGGATTCATTTTTTGCTCTCAAAGCCGCGCTATTGTCTGCGGAGGTCTTGTGGATATACAACCCGCTTTTGCCTACGCGCGTCACTACGGATGCGTTAGGCTATGGCATTGGTGCAGTCCTCGAGCAACATGATGGTGTGGACTGGCACCCGGTCGAATATTTCAGCAAGAAAGTGTCAATCGTGCATTCCATTGACGATGCACGTAAGAAGGAGCTCCTCGCCTTCGTCCACGCGCTCAAGCGGTGGCGACACTTCCTCCTTGATCGAAGCCAATTTCGATGGGTAACGGACAACAATCCGTTGGTCTTCTACAAGACCCAAGACACCGTCAACAGTACCATTGCTCGATGGATGGCTTTCATCGACCAGTTCGACTTCTTTCCCGATCCCGGGAAGTCGAACCGTTTTGCGGATGCTCTTTCACGGCGTCCGGATCATTGTACCGTGGTCTACTCAACCTTCGAGATCGACGATGACCTGCGGAACAACTTCATCCGCAGCTACTAAGCCGACCCCGAGTCTCGCGACAAGTACGCGAATTGCTCCTCTCCTAATCCGGCGCCATCTCACTACCGGATCCAAGAGGGGTACTTGCTTGTCCACACGCGGSGGAAGGACCTTCTTTGTGTACCGAGTGATCCTCACTTGCGTACACGGCTTCTTGGCGAGTTCCACGATGCTCCCGCCACCGGACACTTTGGAGTCAATCGCACGATTGGCCGACCTCGCGAGCGATTTTGGTGGCCCGGCCTTCTCAGCGATGTCACGCGCTATTGCGAGTCATGCGAGGTCTGCCGACGCTGCAAATCCCGCAACCATCGTCCGTACGGCGAGTTACGACCATTACCGGTGCCGTTGAGGCGAAGGGAAACGATTGCCATGGACATTACTGACCCATTCCCCAAGCACAAGACCGGAGTGGATGGGATTCTTACGGTGGTCGACCGACTCACTAAGTTCGCCATGTTTTTGCCTTGTCGCTATCATGCCAAGGCACCGGAGTTGGCCGAGGTTCTCTACGCCGGTTGGATTCAAACCAAGGGTTACCCCGAGGAGATCGTCTGCGACCGCGACACTCGGTTCGTGTCCGATTTTTGGTTGGCGCTCATCAAGCGATGGGGCTCATCTCTCAAGCCTAGTTCAGCTCGCCACCCTCAGACCGATGGCCAGACGGAGAGGGCGCATCAGACCGCACAGGTTCTCCGTCGCACTCTCATCCGCCCCGACCAGAAGGACTGGGTTGAGCGGCTGCCGGATGTCGAGTTGGCCTACAACTCCTCTATCCACCCGGCTATCGGGATGTCGCCCTTTGAGTTCGAGCACGGCTCGCCGGTCACTTCGCCGTTGGACATTATCACTCCACGAACGGTCGAGAGCGACGGCCATCTTCTTTTCTTGCGTCGGATGCAAGAGCTTCTTGTCAAGGCACGCGACCAGATGGCTAAGACGCAGCAGCGCATGAGCCAGCAGGCCAATCGCCAGCGTCTTCCTTGCCCATTCCGCGCCGGCGACCTCGTGTGGGTTTCCGCAGCGGAATTCAGCCTTGAACAAGACATCTCTCGCAAGCTCCTCCCGAAATGGATGGGGCCTTGGCCGATCGTGGCACCCGCTGGGGACNACAAGACATCTCTCGCAAGCTCCTCCCGAAATGGATGGGGCCTTGGCCGATCGTGGCACCCGCTGGGGACGCACCTGAGGGACCTTCCTTCACGATTCAGGTGCCCGGCCACTTGCCCGTCTACCCAGTCTTTCATTGCTCCAAGTTGGCTCTTTACACGCCAGCGGAACATGACGATTTTCCCGGGAGATGTTCGCAAGACCCACCCTCCATGGATGGTTTTCAGGAGGTCGGCGACATCATCTCCCAGCGACGCTACGGCAACAGGGCAACCGAGTATTTAGTGCATTTTGCATACTGCACACACCGAGCTGACCGTTGGTTGACCCGTGCGGAACTTCAAGCAACAACTCCAGACGTTCTCGTACGCTACGAACGCAAGATGCAAGGCAAGCCGGTTTCTTCGGCTCCACGCCGTGCCTGCGTCCAGGTTCCACCTTCAGATCGCCGGCTTCGCCCTCGCCCCGGCTTGACTTCATAAGGAGGGGGGGGTGTTACATGCTGTGCCTGCACATGAGGGCCATTTTCCAGGCCCTGCGTCCCTCAGGAAACCTGAAAACCAGGGCCTACAGGCCCCGTGACTGTTCAGCCCGAAAGCCTGAAAACAGGGGGCCTACAGTCCCTGTGTCGTTTCAGACTAAAAATGGCAACAGCCTTTTTAGCCTGAAACGAAGGGCCATTTTCGGTCGTTCATCAGAACGACCGGCCCTGAAACTCAGGCACTGAAACTCAGGCACTGAACCAGGGTTTCGGGAACAGGCTATTCTTAGCCTGTTCCCCACGCCAGCCTCAGCAGCTGCAGCAGCGCCAGCCCCTGGCACACTTCGGCATTGGCAAGAGCAGCCTCCTCGGCCTGGCTCGCCCTTCAGGCAGTGAGGAGGCAGGCCGAGGTAGTACATAGGGACTTCCCATGCACTTCACGGGCAGGCAGGAGGCAGTAGTCTTCAGGATTCGGCCGCAGCACTCTGGAGGGAGCGCTGCAGGGAGTAGTAGTAGCGTTAGCCTTTAGTCTTCAGCGCTGGGCGCAGTAGGTAGCTGTAGTCTCCAGCGCTGGGCGCCATAGCTAGGATAGCACTAGAGAGAGAGAGAGGTTGGGCGGAGGCCAGAGGTACTTACCTGCAGCGCCGTTGCTCCAGCTTCGTCTTCGAGGTACCTGCAGCACAGCGCCAACATCACAGGTCAGTTCCTGGCTCGTAACAGAGAGAGAGAGTTCTTCTTCTTCCTCTTCTCAGTCCACCATCTCCCTCTCACCCTCTCATCATCTGACTTCACTGCATCTGCAGACTACGAGAGAAGAGAGAAAGAGCTTGGTGACATTGGATCCAGACTCGACTTTTGGACTTCAGACATTACAACGAGGGACTATTTGGGACTTGTGACAAAGACTTGGTGTTGACGACATTCCCATCTCTCCCTCTCCTCTTCGTCTGATCCCCTCCTCGTCGTCTGTGTATGTCTGGACCTGGCGCTTCCTTCCTGTGTACAGCGCCAGGCTCCTTCACACTTTGTGATGGACACGATGTATGTTGGTCTGNTCGTCGTCTGTGTATGTCTGGACCTGGCGCTTCCTTCCTGTGTACAGCGCCAGGCTCCTTCACACTTTGTGATGGACACGATGTATGTTGGTCTGTGTTCAAACATTGATTGGGCTAGTCATTAGCATTCTAGCATTCTGCTTCTCTACTTTGTACTACGTGAATGAGGTCAGTCCCGGTCAGGTCAGGCTTTGTATCTAAGTCTTCCCTGCGCTATTCAGCATCATTTAGTATGTATCAGAATGCACATTGCTTGTTGAGTTTCTACTTGCACTGCATTGTCCATTCAGTCCTTTTCATCACATTGCGGATCCTCGGTTATTATGTACATCGCCTATCTAGGAATGTAACACCCAGTCCCTAATCCTGGACCAACCACTGCTTTAAAATGGCAGGAAAAACGATGTGTTTGTAGCTCAGTCTGCTAGTGTCCCAGGGTCCAGATGTACCTACTCCTAAGTTCTCCAGATGCATCAGGTATTCAACGAGATATTGACCAGGGCCTATGGGTTCCGTCCAAGGGTGAACATACTGGAGAATCTCTGTCTGTTCTTTGTGAGCCTACCATTATATCCCTCTGTTTTCATGCTTAAGTACATCAACATGGTGAGCCTTGTGTGCGAGAGGCACTGAAAAGGGGGAGTTAAAAGAAGAAATAAGAGAGAACTGTAATGAACCCAGTCTCGTTTTCCAATCATGTTGCATAATAATGTCGTGCAATGCCATGGGCTAATCAATCCAATAATTCCATCAGTTCGAAGTCATTGAAGTACAGGTTTCCTCATTACCACGTGTATGTCTCAAGTCCACAGTACCCAGAAAAGAGAGGAGGGAAGAATAGACAGTTGGAAGGAAAAATATAAGCCCCTCTTCTCCTTCAGGCTCCCGCCTCTGCCACGTCAGCAACATGCACTCAATGTGCCACGCCAGTAGTATGCACTCAATGTGCCACGTCAGCAATATGCACTCAATGTGCCACGCCAGGAATACGCACTCAATGTGCCACGTCAGCAATATGCACTTCAATGTGCCATGTCAGCACTCCGTGTAACATGTGGACGATGTGGAAGCAGCTTCTCGCAGGTAAATGATCTAAAGAAACCAGGTACGTACACACGAGGACTCACATCACCCACACTCTCTCTCTCTCCTCTCCTCATTCCCTCACCATTATCTATGGCCGCGGTCTTGGCCGCCCTCTCCCTATCTCACTACTATGATATCTGGCTGGGCCCATCCAGCAGTCTGGCGCTAGCATCTCCTCTCCAGCCTCACGTGCAGCGTTGTAGCCGCAAGCAACTTGCAAGACTGAATTGCAATCAGGCGCGTCTACTTTCTTACTTAGCATGCATGAAACAGATGGCAATTGCACTGGCGACAAGCGCCCACACCAAACTCAGAGAAAATTGTGGCCAAGAACACAGTTCAAATTCAACTTGCTTCAAAATGGCTATGGCGCCTGTGCGCCCTCACAACACCCTTCCACTTTGTATCCTCAGCAAAAGTTCACACGCATGCTACTCTGGATCTCCTTGGATGTCCCACACACGCTCACAACCCACTGCACACTCAAACACGCTGTAGACTATCTCTAACGTAGTGTAGCTATGGCTGCTTGCTACCTCTACCACTACTAGCGGCTATGGCCTCTTCGTCTCCCTTGCATCCCTCTTCTCCCTCGGGCACCTGCAGACCTCCTTGCACAAGTCGCTCTGGCAGCGCTTCCGCACGGCTCGCAGTCTGAATGGATGCATAACTGGACGCTGCCTCTTGATGTATACTTCTGTTGGTCACTGGTCTGCTCTTTTCCACCGGGCCCAGGGTGCACACAGTCCCACATGGTACTTGCAGACTGGACAAGGTGCGGCTGGGACTGGGTACCGCTGACTGGATGAGGTAAGTCTACTTGCCCACTTGCCTACGGGGACTGCTTCTAAGACTCTCGAAGGGCCAGTCCTGGAAGACTCTAGACTTGCTACGTGCCCTTTCGGTACTGTAGCAGCTACGACTAAGGCTGACCCTTCAAACCTACAACAGCTACGACTCCCAATCTACAGGTAAGCAGCTTAAACCTATATGTACAATAGCTGCCTACGAACAACTTTTAGGGGCAGGTCACGGGTTCAAACCAGAATGGGGTGAATTGTACTGTGCACGAGATCGGGAGAGGTCTAGGGATCGAGCCCTGGGATCTGCATCTGCTACCACGAAGGTGAAAACCGTTTCAGAATGTTCGAGCAGTGGCGAGGTCAACCTTTTGTAGCGTTGACTAGCGTTGTTCAGGGTCAGCATCGGTCCATATGAGGGCTTGGATCATCCGATCTGAAACGGTTTTCACCTCTTTGTAGTAACAGATGCAGACCCCAGGGCTCGATCCCTAGACCTCACCCTACCCATGTATCTGTGTAGACCCCGAGAGTTGAACCTGTGACCTGTGTATTCGTAGACAGTTGGTAGGTCTGTCATAGGTCCATAGGTAGCAGGGGTTCGATCTGTAGGTCTATAGAGTAGAAGTCTTAGCGAGTTCCAGAAGTCTAGTTGTAGTCCTTCTAGAAGGTCGGCAAGTGGGCAAGTGGTCAAGTGGCGAGTCAAGTGGTGGACTAAACTGCAGTGCAATTGCCGTACGACTACGGTAGGTTAGGAGTGAGTCCACAGTCAGTCAGCGGTAAGGTCCAGTCAGTCCCAGTCTGGTCCAGCAAGTACCACGGGGGACTGTGAGCACCATGGGCCGATGGCAAAGGGCAGACCAACGAGTTTCCAAAGTATAAGAGGCAGCGCCCAACCTTTCATTCATTCCTGCGTGACCCATGCGGAAGCGCTACCTCAGCGACTTGTGCAAGGAGGTCTGCAGTGAGCCCGGAGGATGCAGTGGGCAAGAGAGAAGGAGCTTAGTATAGCGATAGGGTAGAGGCAGCCATAGCTGCCATAGCTGTAGTTAGTGTGAAGTGTGTGTGTGTATGTGCGAGTGTTCAGAGTTACGCGTGTGGGATATCCAGGGTGATCCGGCGTATGTGAACAGTGAGTTGTTCGGGCGCTGAGTCGCCATAGCCAGTTGAAAGTGAACTCGTATCTGGATGCCATATCTTTGAGTTTTGAGTGGGCGCATGTCGCCAGTTTGCTGCGCTGCTGTTTACACGCATGAAAAGTGTGAATGAGAACGAGTCTGATTGCAGATCAGTCCCAGTTTCAGTCTGGACTCTGGGCCTGAATCTTCCGGAACCTGCAGGCAACTGTTAGATCATTCCAGATCAACGGCTAGGAAATCTTTGTTGTTGACTTTGACTTCTCGGGTCTGGTCTTGGGTCCACGACTTGAACGTTGACTTTTCAGTCAACTGTCGGCATGGGCCCTTTTCAAGGCCTCTTTCAGCCCTGACTTTTCAGTCAACTGTCGGCATGGGCCCTTTTCAAGGCCTCTTTCAGCCCTCTTTTCAAGGCCTGCCCGTTTGTACCTATCTGTGGTCGCGTCGGGAGTCCAGCGACTCAATTTGGCACACAAGTTACAGCATTCCATCCTGGCCGATGTTGAGTTCCATTGCAAAAATTTCATTTCAGGCATTATCTGTTCTTACAACTCTCTCTCTCTCTCTCTCTCTGTCCGGTACTAACCTGTGAAGCTGGCGCCTTGATGCAGGTACCTCAAAGATGGAGCTGCAGCTATGGCGCCACAGATAAGTCTCACTGGCCTCCGCCAGCCATCTCTCTCCAACACTACAACTACCACTACTAGCGCCCAACGCTGAAGACTACTGCTACTGCTAATAGCGCCCAGCGCTGAAGACTACTGCTAGCGCTAAGCTGCTCCTGCAGCGCTCCTCCAGAGTGCTGCGGCCGAATCCTGAAGACTACTCCTGCCTTTTGTCCAACTACCTGCCCGTGAAGTGCATGGGAACTCCCTATGTACTACTCGGCCTGCCTCCTGACTGCCTGCAGCTGCAGGGCGAGGCAGTCCAGGAGGCTGCTCTTGCCAATGCCAGGGCAAGCCAGGGGCTGGCGCTGCAGCTCCTGATGAGGCTGGCGTGGGGAACAAGCCAAAAATAGCCTGTTCCTGAAACCCTGGTTTGTTGCTTGAGTTCTAGGGCAGGACGATCTTATGAGGGCCCGAAAGTGGCCCTCTGTTTCAGGCTGAAAAGACTCAGGGCCTGAACGGCCCTGTTATAGGTTGAAAACGAAATAGGGCCTGCAGGCCCTCGTTTTCAGTCTTTCAGGCTGAAACGACATGGGGCCTGTAAGCCCTATTTCTAGACTTTTAGGCAGAGAATGCGGGACGGGCCCTGAAGGCCCGTGTGGCTACGCAGTATGCCACACCCCCCCCTCCTTGAAAGACCGAGCTTACCCGCGAGGGTGAAGCTGTCTGTCTGAGGGAGGGACCACAGTCCGGGTGGGAGGGGCAGGTCGTGAAGTTCCCTGAGCTAACCTTGCTGCTCGTAGTGAGCGTAGATCAGCGGTGCGGATGCTTTCAAATCTGTTCCTAAAATCCACCGAGTGTCGTCGAGATCGCATGCTTTGAATTTAACTTTGTACTGTCGAGGCTTGCTGTCGTACTTGCAATCCGTGATGACGCGGTCAACTTCCTGATGACCATCCATAGAAGGAGGGTCCTGCGATCGTCGGCCTGGGAAGTCGTCGCTCTTAGCTGGTGTGTATGTCGCCAGCTTCGAGGCGTGAAAGACTGGATGGACCTTCAGATGCGGGGGAATGTTGATCACAAATGAAGGGCCATCGGGCTCATCGCCCGCTGCTGATGTTACGGGCCATGGTCCAAACCACTTGGGAAGCACTTTGCGTGAAACATCCTGTTCCAATGCAAACTCTTTCGCGGAGACCCAAACCAGATCACCAGCATGGATGGGACATGGCACGCGACGCCTGTTGGCTTGCTGTTGCATCCGGACTTGAGCGCGGGCTTGAGCCAGCAATTCCTTGTACTTCCGGACGGAAGCGGGAGAGCAAGCGGCGTCGATGTCGGCTGGTCGTGGGAGGAGAAGATCGGCGAAGATACGGACTTTCCGTCCACCGTGGTGCAACTCGAATGGGGTCACATCGATCGCCGGTGCACCGAAGTGTTGTAGGCGAACTCGATGTCGTGGAGGCGGTCAACCCAATATTTCTGATCCGGACGGATGAGCGTACGAAGCATCATTTGAGCGGTTTGATGTGCCCGCTCCGTTTGCCCGTCCGTCTGTGGATGCCGAGCCGAACTTGGTTTCATCTTCGTGTCGGACCCCTGCATCAGCGCAGTCCAAAATGTCGACATGAAGCGAGTGTCGCGGTCGCTGACTATGTCTTGCGGTACACCGTGGCCGCAAATCCAGCCGGTGTGCAAGAGGCGTGCCAGCTCGGGAGCCGTGGAGTAGTACTTGCAAGGGAGAAAACGCGTGTACTTACTCAAACTATCCACGACCGTGAGGATGCCGTCGTGCCCGAGCCGGTCGCGGGGGAACGGACCGGTGACGTCGATGGCAATGGAGAGACCGGGTTCCTGTGGGATGGGCATCGAGCACAACTCGCCATAGGGATTGCGGTTGCGGGGCTTGCTTCATCGGCAAACTTCGTAAGAGTCGCAATACCGAGTGACATCGGTAATGAGGTCGGGCCATCGGAATCGTTGTCGAAGTCGTGTAATAGCGCGATTGACTCCGAAATGGCCGGCGAGTCGCGAGTCATGGTACTCCTCGAGAAGGCGAGTCCGAAGACGACGGTCTCGTGGGACACACAATAAGTCCTTGCCTCTCGAGTGGACGAGCAAGTACCCATCGGCAATGCGATAATGGCTGGCCGGCGGGTGATCCGAAGATAGTTGCGCATACAACGTGGTGAAGTCTGGATCAGACTCATATCCCCGGATGAAGTGTCGCTGGAGTTCCTCGTCGAATGCGAAGGCATGATGTGTCATAGCGCAAAGATCGGGTCTTCGCGCGATTGGAGAGGCCGGGAAGATGTTTCGGTGTGAAGTCAAATTGGTCGATGAAGTACATCCATCGTCCGATCGTGCTGCTCACCGTATCCTGCGTCTTGTAGGAGGTCAATGGTTTGTTGTCCGCGACCCATGTGAACCTACGACGCCGAAGGAGGAAGTGCCGCCATCGTTTGAGAGCCGTCACGAACGCGAGCAGCTCCTTCTTCCTTGCATTATCACGCGAATTGATGGGAGGCACTTTGTGGCTGAAATACTCCACAGGGTGCCAGTCGTCGCCGTCGTGTTGTTCCAAGACTGCCCCAATGCCATAGCCGGAAGCGTCAGTTGTCACTCTCGTAGGCAGGGTGGGGTCATAAATGCTAAGGACGGGTGCCATGAGCATAGCCGTCTTAAGTGCTTGGAATGGCCGGCGTGCATCGTCATCGAATACGAATGGCACCTTTGGCGATTGTAACCTCGTCATAGGTGCGGCAATCCTGGAGTATCCGGTGATGAATCGCTGATAGTAGCCCGCCAATCCCATGAATGAATGAACGTCCGTGGTGTTGGTGGGCTCAGGCCATACGCGGATGGCCTCGATCTTGTCCGCAAGCGGACAGATGCCTTGCGGCGTCACATAATGTCCCAAGTACTCCAGCTCTTGCCGCGCGAATTCGCATTTGTCGCGGTTGGCTTTGTACTTGGCTTGTCGTAGCCGCTCCAAAACGGTGCGCAGGTGTTCCACATGCTCGTCCAAACTCCGGCTGTACACCAGGATGTCGTCGAGGTAGATAAGTACAAATCGATCCAGCATGTGTCGGAACTCCGTTGTCATAGCCGCTTGGAATGTGGTCGGGGCATTCGTAAGGCCAAACGGCATAACCAGCCATTCGAAATGCCCATATCGTGTCTTAAACGCGGTCTTGTAGCGGTCCTCCTGCCGGATCTCGAGTTGGTGATATCCCGATTTGAGGTCTAGCTTGGAGAAGAACTTGGCGCCGCCCAGCCGTTCGAGGAGATCGTCGATGCGTGGAAGAGGGCCGGCGTTCTTGACCGTTTGCACGTTGAGCTTGCGATAATCGATGCACAACCGCAAATCCTTGTTCTTCTTCCGGACGAAGAGAACGGGAGCACCGTATGGCGATGAGCTAGGCCGAATCCAACCTTTCTCCAGAAGGTCGTCGAGTCGGTGCTACTCTGTGCGGGCCTTCGAACACTTCACCGTAGAAGTCGAGAAGCTCGGTGATGCGTGGGTCCGAAGATGAGTCCGTCGATGAAGCGTCATGGGGCGGGAGGGCGTGGAGAAAACACATCCCCATCTCCTCGATGTCGTCTCTCATGATGGAAGCTTGCATGCTTGCGGCGGATACCACGTGGCAGCTGATCGAAGGATGAGGAAGAGGCACCGTGCATGGGACTTGTACTCCGTTCCGATCACGAATGTGAACGGTGCGGTGGTAGAAGTTCACCGGGTGATCCTCGCTTCGCAGCCATGACATGCCCAAGATCATGTCGAATTTGGTGTCAAAAATATCGAAGGACACCGCCTCGCTTGCATGCGGGGCAAAGTACACGGGGATGTCATCTATGCACCGGTCTATTGACTTGGGCGTGTGACCGTCCACCAACGTGACTTGCGTAGGCTGGGACTTCCTTCGGACGCGTGGGCCAAGGCCGATGCGTACCATAAAGTCCTGGCTCATGTAGTTGCGAGATGCTCCGCAATTGATCAAAGCGTTGCAGGTCGCCACTCCGATCTGAATGCGTACATATAACAATGGCGCGTCGATGTCGTCGTACCGTTGTGTCTTGAACTCGCGGTTGATCTTCGCAATGTAGTCGTGAAGGTCGACAACCTCTACTCCGGCGTCCATCAACGGAGTTGGTACTGCAGTGTGCAAGTAATCCCGCAATTGTGCCATGAGCACGTTGCAATGCGGTTTCGGCAATCGACCAGACCGAGGAAGGGGCATCCATTGGAAGTCCGCAAACGTCAACGGGTCGAGCTCTTCAAGTCTTGACCATGACGTCAAATCCCCGGCGATAGATGGCGGCGAAGCTGCCGAATTGGTTGCCGATGGTGGTGAAACCGTGCATGCGGTGGATTGTTGCACATGGAGCGGTTGGTCCAACGGTGGGACCAAGTGGATAACATAGTCCTCGTAAGTGTACCGAGAATTTGCGACATTCGCATCCTCCCCAGATGTGTAGGAGGACGCTAGCAAAGCTGCCGAATCTGGAGGAGTGAGGGGTGGAGTCGCCTCACCTCCCGCGCAACTCAGTTTCCCGAGTTAATGCGAGGCCGAACATCCTCCTTGCCTTGATCCGGGCATTGGGAGGTCTTGTGCTTGGTGTTGTTGCACCAATAGCAGCAGTCGTAACGGCCGCGCCACTTGTATTCCGCCTCGGTCAAGTAAAACTTGACCCATAGCGCTGGCTGTCCGTTTCTGGTCGGCGATGCGGTTTTCGCCTTCCCGTTTCCTCGGGACTTGTTGTTGCTTCGCGGCTGGACAGCAGCCACCTGTGATCTCCCTCACGTGATGCTTGGGTGGTTGCCGGGTCTTCCACAATGTTGTCCGATTGGACTGCAGCGACATGCTGCGGCCGCGGACCAGTTTTCACCTTCTCCACATAAGTTGGCTGCCATGCTGATTTCTCATGTGCAGCTGCCCTATTGGTCTTGATGATCTCCCTTGCCTTGTCGATGATTTCAGCGAATGTTGCGTATTGCTCGCCATCACCAAGTGCAAGGCTCAAGGCGGCACATGATCGGTTGTAGAACTCTCGGCGCAGATGCGAAAATGGCAAGTCAAGATCGGGCGTTGCCGCGATCTTTTGCCATTCCAGGGGCCAGTCACGTGTCGATGTGTTGCCTTGCGTCATAGCGAAGAGGCGGTTGATGGCGAACGTCGGGGTGTCGTCCACGATGAACCGCTTCTTCCATAGCCGTTGTAGGGCCAAGCCCCGGTAGACTTTCGAGCCTTAGTCGACCCCACTGCGGGTCCCAGTTGGCTCGGCCCGCCCACGCTCATGCTCGGGGCGCGGGCCGTTCGTCCCGAGGTCACCCCCACCTTGTGCTTTGAGATGGATGAGGGTGGGCCATCGCGCGAGAGAGCTTTGACATTGGGGATGTAGCTCAACCCTCACGCCGGGTGGTAGTCTCGCTGGTCGTTTCGCCACGCTGATTTTTGTTTGGTTCTTTGTTGTGTTCTCACACAATTGCTCCTTCCAATACGCAGGCAGTCCAGGGGTTTTTTGGGCGTTGCTCTTCTCTTGTGCGTAGGCTAAGCGTCATCCTTAGGCCACGCACCATTTCCCTAAGCATTGTGGCTATATGGCGTCATAAGGGTGCGGCGGAGCCGTCCTCCCCCTCGCCTCTACGCATCCATCGGTCTCACAATTTGTTGTTTTCCTTATTGAAGTAGGCCTCTTAGTCCTTTCGGGGTCCTCATATGCATGCACACATAACATCACAATTTCCTTGGTATGATTGCACTCTCATTTCCACTCCAAGTCCTCACGCGCCAAAGTCATTCCCATGGGTTAGCTCTATGTCAAGGGTCCCGTAGCCCCTTTGTCCCTCTTCCCTTTCACTCTTGGTGCCGAGTTCCTCTCGCCCCTATCCCGCTCAAGGCATTTCTAGCCACCACTCACCTGCACAATCCCACACAAGCAAGAGAATCCATACAATCCCCCGTTGGGGGTCAACACATAGCCCTTCCCACATGCCTATCTTTTCAAATCCTTTGGCTGCTCTTTGTTCCCTCTTGATGCTCAATCAGCCCATTTTCTTCTCATAGTCATGCAGTCGGGGAAATGGTTGAGTCAAACTGACCTCTCTCTCAACTTATGCTTCCTTCCGGATCCCGCCTTTCTCCCACTTTTTCAAACGTCCTTTCTTTTGCCTTCTTGGTGGCACAAGGGACCGACTATCCTCCCCTTGTCCTCTTTCTCCACCAAGTGAGGTCTGATTTCGGTCACCGTCCGTACCCTGGCAATGTTTCCAAGTGAGGGGAGAAGGGTTAGTCATATGCCAAGTGAGGGAACGAGAGAGAAAGAGAGAGAGAGAGAGGGAGAAGGCAAGGTAAAAAAAGGGGGCGAAAGAAGGGTCTAGAGGAGGAAGGAGGAAAAGGGGGGAGAGGGAAAAGGAGAGAGGGAGGGGGAGATGAGGAGAGAGGAAGGAAGGGAGAGAGAGAGAGAGAGAGAGAGAGTGAGAGAAGACAAGAAGAACACCTAATCAATTCAGCTCCCCGTAACAGCAACCAAATGTCGATCACCCGTCCCATAGTGAGAGATTGAATAAGTATATTTTGGAATAACATGACAATAAGAAGCTAGACAAATGGAAATCACATGCTCATAGGGAAGGGGATCATCTAAACAAGATCCGGAACATCACATCAAACATGAACTTTTGACAWRGAGAGGTTAGACTAGTGGAAGCACATGCACAAAGAGGAGAGACTAACTAAGTAGAGATCCGGATCATGGTCTTRACAAGGAGTGGCTAGACTAATGGAARCACATGCACAAAGAGARGAGACCAACTAAGAAAAAGGTCCGGAACGTCTCATCAAACATGAAATTGACAATGAGAGACTAGACTAGCGGAAAACACATGCACAAAGAGAAGAGACTAACTAAGTAAAGATGCGGAACATGAACTTTGACAAAGAGAGGCTAGACTAGTGGGAGCACATGCACAAGGAGAAGTGATCAACAAGGTACGGATCCGGAATACCACATCAAACATAAACTTGACTATGAGAGACTAGACTAGAGGAAAGTACATGCACAAGGAGAAGAGACTACTTAAGTAAAAGATCTGGAACATGAACTTGACAATGGGAGACTACACTAGTGGAAGCACATGCACAAAGGAGAAGAGTTCAATTAAGTAAAAGATCCGGAATATGATCTTGACAATGGGAGACTAGACTAGTGGAAACTCATGCACGAAGGAGAAGAGCTCAATTAAGTAAAAGATCCGGATTATGAATTTGACAATGAGAAACTAGACTAGTGGAAGCACATGCACAAAGGAGAAGAGTTCAACAAAGTAAAAGATCCGGAACATGAACTTGACAATGAAGGATTAGACTAGTGGAAAGCAAATGCATAAAGGAGAAGAGTTAAACAAGGTAAAAGATCCGGAACATGAACTTGACAATGAAGACTAGACTAGTGGAAAGCACATGCACAATGAGTAGAGATCAACAAGGTAAAGATCCGGAACATGAACTTGACAAGGAAAAATTAGATTAGTGGAAGCCCATGCACAAAGGAGAAGAGTTCAACTAAGTAAAAGATCCGGAGTATGAACTTGACAATAGGAGACTAGACTAGTCGAAGCACATGCACAAAGGAG